GAGACGGGGTTTCACCGTGTTAGCCAGGATGGTCTCGATCTCCTGACCTCGTGATCCACCCGTCTCGGCCTCCCAAAGTGCTGGGATTACAGACTCTTTTGTATCTTTAGTAGAGACAGGGTTTCACCATGTTAGCCAGGATGGCCTCGATCTCCTGACCTCATGATCTGCCAGCCTCGGCCTCCCAAAGTGCTGGGATTACAGGTATGAGCCACTGTGCCCACCCATAAACTTTAATTTTTAATATTAAGTTCAATTTTTCCTTTTTACTCAAGGTGGGGGAAACATGTCTTCCTAGAAAATATTTTCCTAGTCCACCCCAAATTTTCTATTTTTATTGTGTGAATGCCTGCAAAGAACTGCTGAGTCATAAAATTGATTTTCTTTTTCTTTCAAAATTGCATATATCAGGTCTTATCCCTAAAAGTGTGACTCTGGGAAAAAAACAGTTGTAACCCATAAGGTCCATTAGGGCAAAGATCAGATCTTACTAGACTCCTTCATTGTGGCTGTTGAATATTTGACATACAATAAATATGTGCTGGATGAATGATCAAAAGTAAAGTTTTAAATCACATGATGATAGACTAACTCCTACAAGCCTCTTGGTATCCGGTTATTCTTTCATTCAACAAATATTTATTGTGTATCTAAGATGACGGTGCCTTGGACTTCAAGGAACTTATAAAATATCCCAGAAAGGAATAGAAAAATGAAGAATTTCAATTACAGTTGACCCTTAAATAACATGGAGGTTAGGGGCATTGACCCGTGTACAGTTGGAAATCCATGTATAATTTCTTTTTTTTTTTTTGAGACAGAGTCTCACTCTGTCGCCAAGGCTGGAGTGCAGTGGCGTAATCTCGGCTCACTGCAACCTCCACATGCTGGATTGAAGCTATTCTTGTGCCTCAGCCACCCAAGTAGCTGGGATTACAGGTGTATGCCACCATGCCTGGCTAATTTTTGTATTTTTAGTAGAGATGGGGTTTCACCATGTTGGCCAGGCTGGTCTCAAACTCCTGGGCTCAAGTGATCTGCCCGCCTCAGCCTCCCAAAGTGCTGGGGTTACAGGCATGAGACCCTGAGCCTGGCCCCATGTATAACTTTGACTCCCCCAAAACTTAATTACTAATAGCCTACTATTGACTAGAAGACTTACCAATAATATAAACAACACATATTTTGTATGCTATGTGTATTATATACTGTATTATTACAAGAAAGTAATCTAGAGAAAAGATAATGTTATTAGGAAAATCAGAAGGCAAAGAAAGTGGTATTTTCTTCATTAAGTGGAGGTGGATCATCATAAAGGCCTTCACCCTACCATCTTCACAGAGTAGGCCGAGTTGGAGGAGGAAAAGGACGGGGTGGTCTCATCTTCTCGGGGATGGAGGAGTTGGGAGGGAAGGCAGGAGAGGCAGGTGAACTTAATTTTATGGAAACACGTGGTAATTTCTGTCTCACTTTGTTATGCTCTTTCTTTTTCTCCAAAATTGTTTCTACACAATATCAACCCTTCTTCCATTTGCTTTAGTTCCAGTGCCTATATCATAGAAGGGTCCATGTCATAAAAGAAGTCAAAAGCAGTCTTGAATAATCAGAACCCTTCTGCCAGATTATCTCATGTCAATTTGCTTTCTGGCACTGCTTCTTCTATGTCTTCTTCCTCATTTTCTGGCACTGGTTCAGAAGCACTCATCTCCATCAAGTCATCTTCTGTTAATTCCTTTGTGTGGTGTCTATTAGCTCTCAAATTTCTCCAAGATCCCTATCTTGAAACCCTTCACTCCCAACCTTTTCCACTACATCCACAATCTCTTTCATGATTTTCTTGACTGACTGCTGTAAATCTTGTAAAGTCATGCACCACATTTGGACAAAGTTTTCTCCAACAGGAATTCATTGTTATCGGTTTGATGACTTTCATGGCTTTTTCTATAACAATGATGGCATTTTCAATGCTGTAATCCTCTCACACTTTCATGATGTTCTTGTTACTGGGGTTCCCTTCCATTGCGTTGAAAATCCTTTCCATAGAGTATCCGTGTGTAATGAGCCTTAAAGATCCTTACGACTCCCTGGATCTTGAGGCTGAATTAGAGACACCGTGTTTGCAGGCAAGGAGACCACTTTGATGCCTTTAGTGTTGAACTCATGGGGTTCTGGGTGGCCAGAGTCATTGTGCAATATCAAGAAACTTTAAAAGGCAGTCTCTTACTGGCAAGGTACTTCCTAACTTCAGGGACAAAGTATCAATGGAACTAGTGTAGAAAAAGGTTTCTCATTGTCCAGGCTTTCCTGTGGCACAACCAAAAGACTAACAGTTGGTGTTTATCTTTTCCCTTCAAGTCTCATGAGTTAGGAGCTCTGTAGATAAGGGCAGTCCTGATCATAAACCTGAGTACATTTTACAAAACAATAGAGTTAGCTTATCCCTTCCTGCATCAAATTCTGGTGCTCACTTCTCTTCCATACTAATAAAAGTCCTTTGTGACATTTTTTCCCCCCCAGAATAGAGCACTTACATCTGCATTAAAAACCTATTCAGGTAGATATCATTTCTCCTAAATAATTTTCTTCCTTTTTTTTTTTTTTTTTTTTGAGACAGAGTCTCACTCTGTCACCCAAGCTCGAATGCATTGGTGTGATCTTGGCTCACTGCAACCTCCACCTCCTGGGTTCAAGTGATTCTCGTGCCTCAGTCTCCCGAGTAGCTGGGATTACAGGCACATGATACCATGCCTAGCTAATTTTTGTATTTTCAGTAGGGACAGGATTTCTCCATGTTGGCCAGGCTGGTCTTGAACTCCTGACCTCAGGTGATCCGCCCACCTCAGCCTCCCAAAGTGCTGGAATTACAAGTGTGAGCCACCACACCCAGCCTCTCCTAAATAATTTTCATAATGGCATCTTGAAACTTGTCTGCTGCCTCTTGGTCAACAGAAGCTGCTTCTCTTGTTATCTTGACATTTTTAAAGCCAAATCTCTTTCTAAAATTATCAAACCATCCTTTGCTGGTGTTAAATTCTCCAGCTTTACATCCTTTACTTTCCTTATTTTTTTAAGTTGTCATAAAATGACTTCTTTTTTCTTGTCAAATTATATTAGAGTCTACAGGTATGCTTTTCTTTAGAAATCCTGTACCCACATAAAACTTGCATTTTCCATGACAGATAAAAAGGCATTGGGCAAAAGTATAAAGTTTTTGTGCGTGTTGGCACGGCTGCAGTGATGGTTTCACAAATTTTCTTTTCTTTTTGTACAATGGTCCTCATATTGGATTAGTTTATCTAGAAATGGGGCAACCACAGCTGCTGACTTCAATCTATGGAACGTATCAAGCAATGTAACTTTTTCCTGTAATGTCATGACATTGCTTCTTGGGAGCGCTTCCAGCATCACTAGTGGCACTTTGCATGGGCCTCATGGTGTTATTCAAGGTTTACAGTATCACACTAAACATGATGAAAACTACACGAGAACCGCCAAGAGATCACTTTTTACTGTAATATGCAATTTACTGAAGAGACAAACTGTTTACACAGAGATAACTAGTGTCACATGGTATTTTAAGCAGACAATTGAAACACCTGAACTCACCACAATAGCAATAGGAGATGGTTATGAAATTATTATAGTAGTACAGTATGTGCTACATTTAACTTTATGCTATTATAATTTAATACTGCATCTTTGTTTTTTTGCATTCCTCCTGACTGAGAAAGACTCCATGTACAGTCTGTAAGTGATAGTGTTCACAGGTTTTGATAAATTTTAACTTTCTATAATAGATTTGTGTATATTTTATGGTAGTAGATGATAAAATAGACTATTAGTTACATATTTTTTATTTATTTATGACATACCTCTTTCTTAATTTTTTCATATTTCTAGGCTACATGGTTCATCTGCAAGTTTTCTCAAACTGCCACAAATCTCAAAAAAATTTCTGATATATTTCTTGAAAAAAATACACACATAAGTGAACCCGCACAATACAAACCCATATTATTCAAGGGTCAACTGTTCATAAATTGCTCTAGTGAAGTATATGGAAATTGAAAAATTTAGAGAGGCAGGAACTCCTAATTCAACCAAAGAGAAGTAAAGAAGGTCTCACAGAGGAAATGTTAAGACTTGAAGGATAATTTCCAGTAGAGCAGAAGGCACAGAGGCTGAAGGAACCATGCTATATGTTTGAACAGTAAGTAGATCAGTATCACTAGAATGTAAAATGCGAGGTGGAGGGGTGGTTGGAGATGGGTAAAGTAGGTAAAGGTGGGCCACAAGAAGAATAAAAATATCAAGACTTTTATTTGGTACACATGTCTCCTGTACTTTCCCCCTAGAAGAAACACTGGAGGGCCACTGAAAACTTTTTATCAGAATTGAGTCTTAAATCATAATTGAAGTGTGAAGAAAGGGAAACCAGTAATTACAAATACATAGGTAAGAGATACGCACATGAACAAAAGCAATCAAGCA